TCACCTTGTCCTGCTTCTTGTCTGCCTTGCTCTAAATATTGTACTACAAATTCTCCTGATCCTCCTCTGCTTTCTTCATCTACCTGTATACCCTGTTCCTGTTCTAACACCTGTTCTCCTTCACTCTCTTTCGGTACGATTTCTTTTCCATTTCTTAAAGTCATTCGGTCTGCCATTTTATGCTAATCTCTATTTATTCTCAAATTTAACTTTAACTACCCCAGAATCTCTACAACTCTAATCACACCAATTTGTTTTTATTTTAATCTGTGTATTATTAATAAATCTGCTTAAAAAAAAACACCCTTATTTCTGTTTTCCCAGAGGCTCCACGTTGTTAGCGCCAATTGTAATAGTTTTGTTTTTATTATTTTTATGTTTTATTGTTAATAAATATAATTTTAATTGAATTGAAGTGAATTTTAAAAGTATGTAGTTCGTTGTTAATATACTATACCTCGGCTAGCTCAATTATTTGTTCTAAGCAATCTGTCACTGTGTGACGTCAACTCTGTAGTCTCCTGGTAGAGTTCAAAAAGAAATTAAACCAAAATTTACTTTATATTTTTGATAAATTAACCCAAATGAAGCACGTTATTTATTAATATTGAACAAATTTAATATAAACAATAAAATTCGTCTGCAACTTGGGTTGCCTTTAAAAATTTACAAAAATAGGAATCGTGTAAACCTTAATGTGTCGTGAAAATAGAATTTGATTACAAAATGTGGAAACTCTCTACAATTACCTTAAATCTAAATGACTATTGCAACTTTATAAAGTGTTTAAATGAAATATAAAGAAAAGAAAACTGAACACTTTATGCCGCTGACTTATAACTAGCATTAAAATATAATCAAAATTTCAAATGATCCCCAAAATTATTATCCAAACTCACTTTCAAACAGTTCTGATTTTTTTTTAAAGAAAACTAACTACTCGCAAAATAATCGGTGATACTGGAATATCTATCCTCTCTTCGGAAGTTAAAGGTACGTACTATTATATTTTTATTTTAATGATCATTAATATTTCAATTTTTAAGGCCTATCGCAATTAGTTAATTCATGAATTTTTACTTTTTCAATCTAAATGACATTTCTGCACTCCAATTATAATTTATAAGTCAAAATTTCTCTTACTCTCTGGAACAAATTCTGGATATCTCTATTTGAAAATGTGGAAAAACTAAATTATAATTAAACGATTTTAAAGCACTCCCGGACTATTCCACCTTTTTAGGGCTCTTCCTCCAAAATTTTCGTCGCCTCCAACAACCTATTCTTCCTTGTTAACCGCCATAGCTAGCACCAACCACCAAAATTATTCGTTGCTAACAGCAACCCCCTTTCTTTTTTCATTCCGTCTTCTATTTTATTCAACCATAAAACTGTCCTGTTTTGACATATTTGTCAAACCACATTAATTTCTCATAAGCACTTTAATCACATCTAATTTGAGAATTTATAAAAAAAAAATTCAGATATAAAACTTAACAATACTAATATAATTTATTCTTTTCATCTCCACATCATTGTAATTTATTTAACAAAACCCCTATTAATTTAGTTCCCACAGACTTTTGACAGTTTATTTTTCTGACGTTTATTTTTAAAATTTCTATGTTTAAATAATTTTTTAAGAATTCTTCTTTTTTATTCCTTTTAAGGTTTAGACGATTCACCTATACACTAGGCAACTATACTATTCAGAAATTATTAACACTATACCAGGTAAGTCAAAATTAATTTATTTAGCAATTTACTAATCTTTTCTCCCTTTTATTTCAGAGTCGACCCCACATTGTGATGGCTTCATGAAATTCATGAACAACAAACTCATATAAAAATCCCTTTAAGTTATATCCTCTTTGACATATTGAAATCATTTCAATATATATATATATATATATATATATATATATATATATATTATATATATATATATATATATAATTTATTAATGGTTTTCTAAACCTCACATATGTGATGAAAGTTCTGTTTGTTTTTCTTGTATTAAGTTTACTAGTATATAATTTTTACATATTTCTGTTCTATATACAGTATAACAACTAATATAATTATGTTTTTACTTAAAAAACATTGAACTTTTTATATTAACAAGTCCATGGTTCCAAATTTGAGCTTTTTATACATTACTGTCATCAATTTCAGTTACATATTCTTGTAATGTTTTCTTGATCTTTTTTCCATATCTGTAAGCTTATTGATGTGCTTTTAGATTGAACTGATGATGTGTATGAATTCACACATAACACGGTTTCATTAAAGGATGAAAAGTAAAAAGATTCTTGTTTTCTACTCCACTTTTGTGACCTATATCCCTCCCACAAGTATTCTTCTAGGTTTTCTCTTTTAAGCCTTCTTGGTAGATTCCACCTAAATACTCTAATACTCTACTGGATCATCTACTTTCTTCCATCCATAGATGATGTCCAAATCACTTGAAACACTCCTTTCTATTTTGTCACTTCACGTGTCTGTGGCACTTAATCTATCTCTAATGGTCTCGTTGGTAATTCTTTCGCGCCTTAATATTCTGGCTAGCTTTCGAAGATAGTTCATCTCTACTACATCTAACTTTCTCTTCAGTACTAAAGGTCCACAATTACATAAGTTTTGTACAGCCGGAATCTCATACTTTGGTGTTTGGCTCTGCTAATTATTTAGAAATAATAATAATTGGAGATTTCAACATTGATTTCAAAAAAGCTTCTAATGAACTTAACAGTTTCCGTGATCTAATTCTACTTTTGGCTTACGCATAAATATTAATGAATTTACTAGAATCATAACTAGATCAGCAACTTGTTTAGATAACATCTTAACAAACATAAGCAGTGAGATAGTTAGTCGTGGAATCGTGGACCATGTATTTCTGATCATCTTGCTCAATTTCTCTACTTCAAAATAAAATCCGAAAAAAGTCATAATGCACAGAAGACATATAACAAGTAATGGCATCCTGTTGTTAAAACAGTCGTTAAATTCGGGCTTCAGTTGTTTCTCTCAAAACAGCAATACAATTAGCTCAATTTATTACCGAAATGTATGTAAAGTTAACTGAAATTAATTTCCCAATAAAAAAATCACGAACTCATAGTAAAGCTCAAACTTGGTTTGATGATGAACTAATAGTAATGCTAGATAATCTTTCCACAGTCAAGATAATTGTTGATGTTACAAAGGAATATACTAAGTATAAAAAGTTATAAGCAATATAAATCAACCTGGCTTATGAGAATTTCTTTTGCAATTCAGAAAATATATCTCGTGACAGTTGGAAAGACTTAGCAGAGACTTAGATGGGCTGGACACATTGCTAGGACGTCAGACCACGAATACACGAAGAGATTACCATTTTCAAAACCAGAGGACACAAGAAGCAGAGGACGAGCAAGAATGAGATGGATTGATGATGTGGAAGAAGACCTACAAATTCTAAGGGTTAGAAGATGGAGGGAAGTTGTCAGGAATCGACAGGAGTGGCGGCTACTTCTTTGTGAACAGGCCAAGATTCACAACGGATTGTCGAGCCACTTATGATGATGATGATGATGACAGTTGGAAAGCTATAAATTATCACAGAAATAAATTTCAAAATAAAAAAGTCTGTACAAGCACGATTATATCTTATATCAAACGCTTTCAATAATGCACTATTCCATAGCCATTTACAGTATGGAATAACTGTTTGGGATAATTCTTCTCACGCAGATCGAATTTTTAAACTACAGAAAAAGAGGAGTAACGATACTTGCAAGAGCAGAGTATAGGGGACACTGTAAACCTTTATTTCTGGATTTAGCTATTATGCCACTATATATATATATATATATATATATATATATATATATATATATATATATATATATATATATATATATATATATATATATATATATATATATATATATATATATATATATATATATATATATATATATATATATATATATATATATATATATATATATATATATATATATATATATATATATATATATATATATATATATATATAAGAAAATATCAAAAAACACTCTTTGAAACATTGTTTCTATTCAACAACGAAGTACCTAAATTCAGCTTTTACACAATAGTACTAGTTTTGTCAGACTATTACCCTATTATGATGATATTTCATGTTTTTATATTTTTATTTAGGGTATTTGTCGTTTCTTAAATTGTTAGTATTGTAATGTTTAAATTCACAAAAAAATTATATGTATTGTTACTATAATAAATATTATGGCGTATAAAACTGTAAATATATTATGACTAATTCTTTTCTATTCAAGTATTTTCTAGATCACGCACCGGCCGGCGGAGACGCAGGTAATAACCGATGGGCCCCCCTTCGATAAAAAAAAACAGCCTGAGTTCCCATTAATTCGAGACAATTCTTGTCAACACCGCCACAACCAGTCTTCCCCAATGATCGAGTCAATTCATGTCTGCTTCTAGGGATTCCGAAACTAACGGATTTTTACATTTAAAGAAGGAATTCTGTTGTAAAGGAACAGTCAGTTTTTGGAGATCGCGCCGCGTATTGAATTGTAACGCACGTATTTTAAATGTAGATAAATTATTAAGTGTACAATAAATTAGTAGTAATAAAGACTTTAATAAATTTGTGAGTATTATAAGTATAGAACCTTTAATAAAATAAAATAAGAACAATAAATTAGAATTAATAAAGACTTTATAATATGTATGTAAAAATTATCACTATTCCTTTGACTTGTCAAAAACAAAAATTTTTGTATATTGACTAAATAAATTCTATTCTATTCAGGAGTAATATTTTGTCAAAGCTATTTGGCTTAAATTGTCATATTTTGCCATCATAATATCAACATGATGGTATCAAAGTCAAAAATATTTACAGATATTAATGAAACACCCTGTATATAATACATACAATACTAACGTGACATTTTTGTTTAGCTAAATAAGTTAATTAGTAAATTAGTTACCTGTATGGTCGCCTATGTTCCCTAATCATGATAATATCAAAGTACTTCCTCCAGCACTCGCTGTGCATAACGTGACCACAAGTACTAGTATGAGGTGCAGGTCCCAAGTTAGCGTGCAGATATAAAGGATCATGTTTGCTAATATCCATCATAGCTTCGTTGGTTTTGTGTTCGCACAATACCGTTGCTTGCTGTACAAAAGCTGCTAGTACCATCGTGTTTCCACTGGCAGTTATTTTTTCCTCTTCTTGACATAGGATGCAAGTGTAAGTTTTTTCTTCTGAATACCTTGGTGACTGTCTAGGACCAAGGGCGATAGGCTGCTCCTCGGACGGTTCTGTCACGTCCATGATTTCAACTTGACTAGAAGTTCTCGGTTTTTGACTGAAATTATAAATTCATTATTAAATCTATATACTCATGGAATTCGCGGTTACTTGATGGACCTTTACGTTCAATAATAAAAAACACAGAAACACAATATTGTTTTTTAATTTCCACAGAATATTGTTTTGTTATTTTGTGCGCAAACAATTTATATACATAAAAGGTTTTATGCCTCTAATGAAAATTTAGTTAGGTAAAAAGAGTAATAAAACTTTCAGTTACCGTTGAGTCAATAGATCTTTACCAGTATGTCATTAATACCTGGCGAGATAAAAACATTCTTTTTATCTAGCATCATTGTCTTCCACGCATGAAACTAAAGACAAACCAGCTACACTATTACATTACACGCTCTGGACTCAATACTTCGAAAAGAGATAGGTACAGAAAAGTCGCTTGGGGATGTTTTCAGATCTTAAGCACAATTTGTGACGTTTCTGGTTTGTTTACTTGTGGCTTCCATTTTGTTGGATTTATGCTCTTTTTTTAACATGTTTTTGCATTTCGAAGTTATTTAATTTACACAAACAGTTGTTTTGACAACTAATCTTATAGTGGAGTTTGAAATTTTAAGGTAAGTGTATTTTACTTTACAATTAATTTACATACAAAGTTAACCTCATTCACACAGTTAACGAATGGTTTTATTTCCGCAAAAGTGAAAGAAATGACACAAAAGAAAATATTTTATTGCATTTTTTAGATTATGCCTGGAAAAACTCTTATCTCACAAGCACAAGAACTCATTTTAAATTTAATCGAGTACTTTGAATTAGAAAAAAGAATGTGTGAACGTTGGAACTGTTGTCATCTGTTCAAGAGGTACAAAAAGTACAATTTTCAAATGCGCCCTATTATAAAGCTTTAATGATGACAAGCATATATTATTATTAATGTTATTTATTTGCCAACTTTATTACATAACAAAATATTTATAATTAGGAACTTTTCATTTTTGTTTTTAATTTAAGTTAAAAATATTGTTCTGAAGCTATTTTCTTGAGGTATTGTAAATTAATTACTATTAAACTGGGAATAAGCCACAATTATAGATAAAAATACGTTTATTGACGTTTCAATTTCCACTTCGGAAATCGTTCTCAAAATACAAACAGTAAATTAAACAAATTTTGTTTTTTTTTTGTTACATAGTGAAAAATTCTTCTAATAATTTAATTTTATCTGACTCATTAATATTGACAATTCAGACATACATTATGCATTTTAAAGTAGACGACTTTAAAATGATATTGCCAATATTGTTGAGTTGCGCTCCTGGGACGACTTTACTTATAAGATAGTTCATTCGATTACATGAAATCAACTTTAACTTGAGAATATTCATCAGAAAAAAAAAATCATAGCATGTAATTCGTCTTTAAAAAGACAAACACATGACATGATGACAGTAAAATTCTCCTGTTAGTGATTCCATAGTAAATTATGAGGGAAAAACCAGGAAAAAAACCTCATAATACTATCCCGACATTGTAAGTATTTGTTCGTGAATTTAGTTTACCTTCAACAAACATCAAAATTCTGATTTTATATGTTACGTTATTTAAAAAACACAAATGATGTATCCTCTATATGTTACTGACTTTCAATATTGGTAACCAGATCCTACTACATTTTGGCGAGGAATTTGCGACACAATTGGCCTCATTTAGCATAATTAGAGCCGCTTCTTTGATTTTTCTTTTTTTACCATCCGTTTCTTTTAGGAGTACATTTGATTTATTCCATTGAACCCTATGTTCATTATCCCATGCGTGTTTACAGATTTGAGATCTATCAAATTCTCTATTTTTAATATAAGATTGATGTTCACTTATTCTAACATTTAATGGCCTTGATGGTTCACCTAAATAAAACTGATCGCATTCACAAGGTATTTTATAAATGCAATTCTTTGTCCTTTCTTGTTCATTGTTAGGTTTGGTTTTGGACAAGATAGATCTCAACGTGTTTGTTGTTTTGAATGTTGTTGAAATGTTGAATTTATTTCCTATCCTTTAAGTTTTTCTGATAGTCCTTTTATGTACGGTATTGTTATTTTCCTCATATTATTCCTTGTGTATGCTGTAGGATCTCGTTCTAAGTTGTTCTGTTCTATTCGATTGATTGTTGAAAATTCCTTATTTATAAACGATAAAGGATAATCATTTTTTAATAAAACAGATGTTAACAAATGTTTCTCCCCCAAGAACGAATTTTCGTTAGAACAAGTAATTTTGGCTCTATCGTATATAAGGATTTAATTATTCCCTTTTTTACATTATATTGTGATTTGATTTGAAATTTAAATATCTATTGGTGTGTGTTGGTTTTCTATACACCTGAGTCTCATATCCAGTATCGTTCTTAGAGATTAAAACATCCAGGAAAGGTAGCGTGTTTTTATATTCCTTTTCCATGGTAAATGTTATTGTCTCTTCTTTATCGTTTATATCTTTTAGGAATGTGTCCAACAACTCTGATCCATGAGTTGTTGGACACATTCTAACACTACAGCATACACAAGGAATAATATGAGGAAAATAACAATACCGTACATAAAAGGACTATCAGAAAAACTTAAAAGGATAGGAAATAAAGTCAACATTTCAACAACATTCAAAACAACAAACACGTTGAGATCTATTTTGTCCAAAACCAAACCTAACAATGAACAAGAAAGGATAAAGAATTGCATTTATAAAATACCTTGTGAATGCGATCAGTTTTATTTAGGTGAATCATCAAGGCCATTAAATGTTAGAATAAGTGAACATCAATCTTATATTAAAAATAGAGAATTTGATAGATCTCAAATCTGTAAACACGCATGGGATAATGAACATAGGGTTCAATGGAATAATTCAAATGTAGTCCTAAAAGAAACGGATGGTAAAAAAAGAAAAATGAAAGAAGCGGCTCAAATTATGCTAAATGAGACCAATTGTGTCGCAAATTCCTCGGCAGAATGTAGTAGGATCTGGTTACCAATATTGAAAGAGGAAGTTATTAATAAGAAAATACCAGTATTAGTAAGTCAGTAACATATAGAGGATACATCATTTATGTTTTTAAATAACGTAACATATAAAATCAGAATTTTGATGTTTGTTGAAGGTAAACTAAATTCACGAACAAATACTTACAATGTCGGGATAGTATTATGAGGTTTTTTTCCTGGTTTTTCCCTCATAATTTACTATGGAATCACTAACAGGAGAATTTTACTGTCATCATGTCATCTGTTTGTCTTTTTAAAGATGAATTACATTCTACGATTTTTTTTTCTGATGGATATTCTCAAGTTAAAGTTGATTTCATGTAATCGAATGAACTATCTTATAAGTAAAGTCGTCCCAGGAGCGCAACTCAACAATATTGGCAATATCATTTTAAAGTCGTCTACATTAAAATGCATAATGTATGTCTGAATTGTCAATATAAATGAGTCAGATAAAATTAAATTATTAGAAGAATTTTTCACTATGTAAAAAACAAACAAAATTTGTTTAATTTACTGTTTGTATTTTGAGAACAGTCGGTCAGATAGCTCAGCGGGCTGTGCGGCTGCCTCTCATTCGCTTCACTGTCGAATGGTTCAGTGGATGTGGGATCGAGCCCCAGCTCGGTGTACAGAAAACAAAAAGTCTAACGCAGCAGTTTAAAATTCTAGATGAATCTGCGGCTTAGACTAGAATATGCTGAGATCTGATCGGCCTATGGTGGAGCAGTACGGCAAGAGATAAGGGCTTGCGGCTCGGTGATACTCTTCCATAGATCCCTACCGGACGGGCGTAACGCCTAAAAAGCCGGATATATATATATATATATATATATATATATATATATATATATATATATATTGAGAACGATTTCCGAAGTGGAAATTGAAACGTCAATAAACGTATTTTTATCTTTAATTGTGGCTTATTCCCAGTTTAATAGTAATTAAATTAAAAATATTGATAATATTTTAACTTTGTTTTAGAGGGTAGAAGCTACACTTAAATTGGCGAGAAAAACAGTATACAATATACGAAAAAGAAAAGAAAAAATCCTGTTTTATCTTCTTCGAGAGGCTATAATAATAACTTAGAGAAACATGTAACCCGTGAAGCGTTGATCAATGAGCCGAAGGCTAAAGAAATTGTTTCTACAAGTAAAATATCCTTGAGTAGAATATTAAAAAGATTGGAGCTTTAAATTTAAAAAAGATTATCATCGAGGTATAAGGTTTCTTAAGTAAATACATGGAAAACAGAGATAGTACATATCAGCGAGAAGTTGTATTTTTAGAAGAAACGTGGATTTTTCTAGGGGAAATAAAATGATGTCGTGGAAATATTGCGTGAATTATGAGACATGATGGTCGATTGCGACGTCACAAAATATCATACAATTTAAGGCAACGGCAACAAGTATCGATTTGGCAAATTGTTTAGCAATAGGAATTGGTTCTTTCACATTGGTCGTCTGTTTCGTAATTAAGAGGCTACCTTTATTCAAAAGAAATTCAAATAGAAATTAAAGTTTTTTAATAAAATATCATCCAATTCACAACGAAGTTACTTCCATCTTGCTAAAAACGTTCGCACCCAGATATGCCTATTCCTTTTCTTTCTTTTTTGCTTTTGACTCATGGTAACGAAAGCGCTACAAGCCATCGCACAAAGTGGTATTTTACATAAAAAGATGGCCAAAATGGACATTTCAAAAAGGAGTAATTTCTTTTCAATAAAGGTAGCCTAATATGAGAGAACCAATTATTACATCAACAAGACTTGCCCAAGGGAACTTTTACTTTCTGGAAAAAGACAATTTTTAAATATTAAACAAAAAAACTATTAAATTTATGGTCATAATTTTTTGTATTCATTATTAAGAATGATTTGAGGTACAAAAAAATAATTTTTTAAAACTTTTAGTTGTTATTTACCACATCAGAGGACGTCTTCCAAAACATGCATTTTAATTTTAGTCACACTTTCCTGCCCCTTTAA